AAAGGCCATCCTAGACTCCCCAGGCTAGGCCAGGTACTCTTCTGTGCTTCCACTGAAATGGATGCATACCCCCATCTTAGCATTTATTACATACTATTGGGATGGTCACCTGTATCTGCCTGTTTCCTTGACTCTATGTTTTAGAGCATGAGTATCTTGAAGGATTTTTTTTTTTTAATTTTTTAAAGTCACCCAGTCGTGTCTGACTCTTTGCAACCCCATTGACTCTAGAGTCCATGGAATTTTCCAGGCCAGAATACTGGAGTCGGTAGCCTTTCTCTTCTCCAGGGGACTCTTCCCAACCTAGGAATTGATCTGGTGTCTCCTGCATTGCAGGGGGATTCTTTACCAACTGAACTATCAGGGAAGCCTCCCCCCTGTCCCCCCCAAAAAACTTGAAAGGCTGTATTTTTCATTGTTTAACACTATACTTGGTGCATGGTCAGTTCTCAATATATGTTTGTTGAATCAATGTATGAAATGAAGATGTAAACAGGAGCAAGAGACTATTCTACCACTGAGGAGTTTATATTTTAGTGAATGGAGAATGATTTTTAGAAATAGCTATAACAGAAGCTACAATTTGCTAAATGCTATAATAGAATTCACAAAGCATTGCTAGAGCTTAGAAGTTAGAGAAACAATTCTGAGTTAATGAATGGGGTATGGAGGAGATAGTATTCAGGGTAGGTTTTGAAGAATAAATAGAATTTTAATAAGTTTTTTAATTTTAAAAATAATAAGTTGTTTGTTAAAGATGATTTCAAAAGTACATAAAGGGAGACAAAGACAACCTTTTTAGTTTTTGCTGTGCCACAAGGCATTTGGGATCCCAGTGTTTTCCTTGGCCGTGCGTGGCATGTGGGATCTTAGTTCCCTGACCAGGGTTGGAACCCACATCCCCTGTAGGGGAAGCACGGAGTCTTAACTCACTGGACTGCCAGGGAAGTCCCCAAGACAACCATCATTAACACTTGGTATAATTCTTTCTGGTCCTTTAATATAATGTATATCAGAGAAATGAGCTATAAACTTATTACTTATACTGAATATAAATATTGTATTTATATGCACTTTTCCATTTAAACATATATTCCAAGTATTTTATTCAGTTATTGATAATTATCTCAATAAATATAATTTCTAATACATGGGCTGATCATATCATAAATTATTTAATACTACCTATATTTAGGTATTCCTGGTTGCTTACTAGTTTTCACTATTAAAGGAAAAAAAATGCTACATTTACATAAATCAGGTATGAAGTTTTCCCAAAATTCAGGATTATTTTCTTCATATACATTCCAAGAAATGGAAATAATTGGATGAAGAATATGAACAGTTAGAAAGTTCTTGATTCATATTATCAAACTGCTTTCAAGAAGGATTGTAAAAATTTTACAATCCTTCCACCAGAATGTATGAGGGTGCCCATTTGATCACAGACAGTGGCGTTTCTATAGGCAGCAATGGGTTTTAAGGGCATTTTAGAAAGATGAAATGGCATAAGTAACAAATGAGAAATAGCTAAGTGTCTCTACATTTAGGGAATGATGAGAAAGTGGTTCACTGTGGCCAGAGTGTGAGTATGGGTACATGAAAATATAGTGGAAGAAATGTCTAGAAGGCTATGTTTAAAGTCACTTGGTGGAGACCCTTGAATGACTGGCCAGAAGTTTAGACTTTATTTTGATGAAAATGGTAGACTATTTAGAATTTTGACCATATGTTTGGATGATATATATTTTAAGAAGATATTTCCATAGCTGAGTGAGAACTGAATCTGAATTAGATAATGTCACTAGCAAAGGAAAAGAGAAAACCCATATAAAGTATGATCAGAAACCTGAAGCACAGGGCCGTGGGTTTAGGGAGAGAAGGAAGAGCACAAGATGATACCATGGCTTTGATAATCTGAAGACGGTACGGTATTACTAAAAATAGAGAATAATTTTCCCTTGAGCTTATTCTAAAATCTAGACATATTATATCATGATGTATTGTATTTTGCTGTTCTAATTCTCGAGGGGGCTGTGAGCTCTTACAGAATAGGATAACTTCTTACTAATTTTTCTATTTCCAAGGCCTAGATACTGTCTATCTCATTGTAAGATGCCTAGTAAATGCTTATTAAATTAGCAAGTTTTTGAGAAGAGGTTTTGAATTAAAACTCTAAAAGATGTATGATCTTCGAGATGAAACTTCAGTAGAGAAGAGAATTTAGCATACCTACTGTAGGGAGTAAATAAGATATATAGAAGTGAAAGTATTGCTCCATTTTAAAAAGCCATCACTGCTTGGACCCAAGCTGATTAGTGCTGTGAATAGCTTTTAAATGAACCAAGATGTTAATCACTTCAACTATTTCCCAAAGGGCCAAGCAAAGACTACCATCTTCTTTGTGAGCCACAAGGTAGAAAAGGTAGAAAAGTACCTTTTTGTTTATTTATGATTTGTAGACTATGTATTTTCCATATAGATCTGAGGGCTGCTAGGGGCTGAATTATCTAACTTAAATGCAGAGTACATCATGCAAAATGCTAGGCTGGATGAAGCACAAGTTGGAATCATGATTGCCAGCAGAAATATCAATAACCTCAGATATGCAGATGACACCACCCTTATGGCAGAAAATGAATAGGAAATAAAGAGCCTCTTGAGGAAAGTGAAAGAGGAGAGTGAAAAATCTGACTTAAAACTCAACATTCAAAAAACTAAGATAATGGCATCTGGTCCCATCACTTCATGGCAAATAGATGGGGAAACAAGGGAAACAGTGACAGATTTTATTTTCCTGGGCTCCAAAATCAATGCAGATGGTGACTGCAGCCATGAAATTAAAAGACACTTGCTCCTTGAAAGAAAAACTATGACAAACTTAGACAGCATATTAAAAAGCAGAGACTTTGCCAACAAAGGTCTGTCTAGTCAAAGCCATGGTTTTTCCAGTAGTCATGTATGGATGTGAGAGTTGGACCATAAAGAAAGCTGAGTGCTAAAGAATTGATGCTTTTGAACTATGGTGTTGGAGAAGACTGCTAATGCATGTATTGATGGGTGTTGGGTGCCACATACTGTGCTAAGGATTCAAAGATACAACATAAGCTCTGCCCCAGAGGCATATACAGAATACTGGGGTGAGAGTTAGGTGAATGAACAACTTAAATATATTGTGTAAAATACTCTAGAATGCAAAGGACATTTTATTTGAAAAGGAAAAAAAAAAAAAAGACATTTTGCCCAGCCAAGGATTTAGGGAAAACTTTCTGATATAGATAATGACTAAGCTGGTTTTGAAGGAAAAGGAGGAATAAACCAAGTGAGAAAAAGGGATATTGCAGGCAGAGGGACCAAAACAAACAAGATATGAAGACACTGAAGATAAAATGATATGGATAGGAACTGTAACAGTGTATGTTTCAACAAACTAGAATGAAAAGTGTGAGACAAAGTGCCAGAAACTGAGGCTGACAGACAGGTGGGGACCAAACACAGGTGACTTGTCTGTTCTACTAGGGAACAGTCATCTCACATGGACTGGTTCTAAGAGACAAAATTCCAAACTTATAATCTAGACAAACCAGATTGAAAGTAGTATAAAGGACACATTTAAGAGTAAAGGAGACCTGGGTATAAATTCTGAAAAAGCAAAAACACTAATTCAACAAGATACATGCACCCCAATATTCATAGAAGCATATTTTCAGTTGCCAAGACATGGAAACCACTGAAATGCACATCAACAGATGATTCCTGTGTGGTGCTGGTAGTAAATAACCTGTCTTGCCAATGCAGGAGACCAGAGAGATGTGGGTTTGATCCATAGGTTGGGAAGACCCCTTGGAGGAGGAAGTGGTAACCCACTCTAGTTTTCTTGCCTGGAGAATCCCATGGACAGAGAAGCTGGGTGGGCTACAGTCCATAGGGCCTCAAGGAGTGGGACACGACTGAAGCAACTTAGCAATCAAGAATATATGTATAATGGAATACTGCTGCTAAATCACTTCAGTCGTGTCCGACTCTGTGTGACCTCATAGACGGCTGCCCACTAGGCTCCTCTGTCCCTGGGATTCTCCAGGCAGGAGTACTGGAGTGGGTTGCCATTTCCTTCTCCGATGCATGAAAGTGAAAAGTGAAAGTGAAGTCGCACAGTCGTGCCCGACTCTTAGCAACCTCACGGGCTGCAGCCTACCAAGCTCCTCCGTCCATGGGGTTTTCCAGGCAAGAGTACTGCAATGGGTTGCCATTGCCTTCTCTATAATGGAATACTACTTAACCATAAAAAAGAATGAAATTTTATCATTTGCCACAACATGGGTAGACTTGGAGGACATTATGCTGAATGAAATAAGTTAGAGAAAAATAAATACTATATGATATCACTTATATGTGTAATCTAAAAAATACAGTAAACAAATGAGTATAACATAAAAGAAGCAGACTCACAGATTTGAAAACAAAGCAGTGGTTCCCAGTGGGGGTGTGGGGGAGTGGGTGGTACTAACTATTGGGTGTAAGATCGACTCAAGGATGTATTACCCAAACTGGGGAATATAGCTGATAGTTTGTAAAAACTATAAATGGAAAGTAACTTCTAAAAATTGCATAAAATAATTTTTAATTAAAAAAAATTTTTTTTAAAGGAGACCAGCTAGAAAGCTACAGGGATAGACCAGGCAAGAGATGTCTGAACTAGAGCAATAAATAGAAGAAGTGGAGAGGGAGCAGGATCAAGAACAGACATGACATAAAATTAATTTGACTTATTGCTTTATTAGATCTGGAGGATCTAAGACAAATTCGTAGTATCTAATGGGGTAATTATGTTGTGTTGTGTTGCCTTTGAGTGAGATGGGAAGCTCTGAGAAGGAACAAAATGGTGGGGAGGGTACTGGGTTCCCTGGACATATTAAGTTTGGAGAAATTAAGATACAGAGAAGTGTATGTGTCCAGATATTAATTTTAATTAAATATACATTAAAGGATGAGTACCTTACCTGTTTTTCACAAGCCAGTAGTCTTTCCCATTAAGGTTACCATAGCCAACCACTAGTACACCATGATTCACAGTCTGAGTACAGGACGGGTCATAGTAGACACCTGAGAATAACATATGGGTAAAGAAAAAGAGTAAGTGGTGTGTGACACTATCTTATTAGCCTGTTTTGGATATATGTGAGGAACATATACTCTTCTGTTTAAACTATTTAGAGTTCATGATTCTTTGCCATCAATGCTATAGTTGTCACAACTGGGTTTTTCTGTTGTTTGCTTTTTGGTTTCACAAAGTTTGGCATCAAGTTAATCACAGTTCCCTCAGAAAGCTCCTTTGATGAACTGCCACCTTTTTCCAGTTAAGAAAAAATGACTTATTTGGCTGCGTTGAATACCAGTTGTGGCCCATGGGATCTTTTGTTGGGTCATAGACCCTCTAGTTTTGGTTCATGGGCTTAGTTGCTCCACAGCATGTGTGATCTTAATTCCCCCACCAGGGATCAAACCCATGTCTTCTGCATGGCAAGGAAGATTCTTAACCACTGAACCACCAGGGAAGATCCCTAACGTTTTTTTAACTTATATTGTTGTATTTCTTTGTATATATTCCTAAATTGTTATGCATTTTCATCCTTTACTGAATTAAATGATTATTAAGGTGAGGCTTTAAAACAAGATGATAACCTTCTAGTTTGTTTAATATGATGTTCTGTGTTTAGTGGGCGGCCCCCTTGTACTCTGCTGGTCTGCACCTACACCGCACAGTGGACCGGGAGGCTAGGTGCTCAGGCTCTGGACTCAGGCAGCATGGTTTCTCATCCCAGCTGACCACCTGCAGACTGTATGACTTTAGGTAGGTTAACCTGTCTAAGATTTGTTTTTTTCATCTGTAAATAGGGTTATTATAAAGATTAAGGGGCTTCCCAAGTGGTACTAGTGGTAAAGAATCCGCCTGCCAATGCAGGACACGCAAGAGATACAAGTTCAATCCCTGGGTCAGGAAGATCCCCTGTTGGAGGAAATGGCACCTTACTCTAGCATTCTGGCCTGGAAAATTCCAAGGACAGAGGAGCCTGGCAGGCTATAGTTCATGGGATTGTAAAGAGTCGGACAAGACTGAGCAACCAAGCACACATGGGGATTAAATGAGATAATGTGCAGAAAGAACTTAGCATAGGACTTGGCATGCAGTCTTAGTAAATTTTTTCCAGTCTTACTTTACTAATTAGAACCGGGTGTAAAAATATGTATATGAAGTGAAATGAGATGGAGGATTCTGTTTAACCTAATCTAGGCATTCAGAAGCAGAGAGATGGGAAAGGAGAACATTCTTTCCTCCGGTGCGAGGGCAGTATAAAGCACGAGGGTAATCTGTCTGGGTTTTTACCAGTTTTGTAGAAAAAGAAAGAAGAGTGCTTCGCGTCTATAGCAACAGACACAGGTCCTTTATTGGCCACAGCGTCTTTTAAGGCCTCTTCGCTGCCGAAGGGAAGCTCAATATACCTTGAACACGTGGCAGCTCGATTTTTTACATCATACTGGCACTTTCCATCCTGTAGGGAAAGGATAAGTCAGATAAAGAAGTGGACTTCAACTTCCATTATAAATTGATGGTATCCTAAGTCTGCATTGCAAATAGGTTTTCTTTTCTCATTCGTCCTTTCAAGTATCTAAGACACTTTCTTATTTAAAAAAAAAAAGAAATATAAAATCTTCCAAATCCTAATAGCTCTACGTTTCACCAGTAACAGAGGAAATATAGAACTATTCTATTGCTTTAAATTGTGAACATCTTCATGTGTACAAAAGTTGCTAGGGTAGTCTCTCAGACTCTAGGTGGATTGTTAGGGAAATACTACATTAAGACTCTAGACTAGAGCTTTAAAATCTTTTTGATGGTATAATGCCTGAAAGGTGATCTGCAGATTAAATACTGGTTTGCCTGTTTAGTTGCTAAGCTGTGGCTGACTCTTTTGTGACCCCATGGACTACAGGTGACAGCTCCTCTGTCCACGGGGTTTTCCAGGCAAGAATACTGGAGTGGGTTGCCTTTCCCTCCTCCAGGGGATCTTCCTGAACCCATGTCTCCTGCACTGACAGGCAGATTCTTTACCACTAAGCTACCAGGGAAACCCAAATATTGGTTTAAAAATACCTTATCTCAAGTGAGATAGGGGAAGTTGCAAATTCATGTTTGTTGTGTATACAACTAGGTTTTATTTTTTTTATTTTTATTTATTTTTTATTTTTTTTTTACAACTAGGTTTTAAAAATGCCTTATAGGAAAAAGAACTTGAAAGAAATAAACCAAAATAATAGTGGTTAAGTTAGGAGGGTTTGAATGATATTTTTATCTTTTCTAAATTTTCTGTCATATCATTTAACAAAAAGTGTGTGAGACTTGGGAGGCAGAGGAGGGCATTATTTAGCTTTTTAGTAAGGTAGAAGAATTGTGTGGTTGATCATCTGAGAATAAGGTTGAGCACAGGAATCTGCAGGACAAAAAAGTTTAACTACCAGGCAGATATACAAAGAATTTTAAGGAAGGTTTGCTGAAAATCCATTTTTAAGCATGAACTCCACCTGCTTGTTTTAAATTATTGTGCCACTGATAAATTAAAAAGTCTGCTGCATAAGAAAGAGAACTCTTGAGAATCTAAGATTTCTTGATTGAGGTTCATTCTCCTCTCTCGCTCACACTCTCACACACACACACACACACACAGACACACCACGCAGCACTGCTTCTCAAGCACTTGGCTTGGTGATAAGTTTGGTATAGTGAGTTGGAGGGATAACATAAGGTCAAGGGGCAGCACAAAAAGTTAACTTGCGGGCACACCATGGCTTTGTAGGGATAGGAAGCGTCTGAATCGATGCCATTGTTGTCAATGATATATTGGAAAGCCTCTGTCATGAAGCCGCCATTGCAGCCTTTATTCCCATATTTTACAGTTGAGCAATCCACCAGGTTCTGTGCACTCAGAGACACCAACTTTCCTGTTTTCAGCTTCATTTGTGCTTCCAGGGCTCCCACAGCACTGAAAGCCCAACAAGCACCACAAGCACCCTACAACAGAGACAAAGTCACAAGGGCAATCATAGTTAGTAAGGATGGCTTCCATAATGCAAACTGGGAAACTCCCAACATGTCAGCACTTCTATCAGTTCAGGAAGAGCTCCCCCTCTATCGTTTCCCCTCCCCTTAGACCATGGCAATGAAGATCGAACACTTGATTATTCTCTGGAACAAGGTCTAACTTTAATACATATTTATGAATGGCTGATCTCACAGCATAATTGCCATATTCAAATATGTTAAGAAACGGTATTTACTGAACATGTACCAAATACCAGCTATTTTCACCCCATAAAAGGGGAGATAGATGCCAACAGTAAAGGGATTTTTGAGAGGAACTAGGATATTCCCTTGACCTAAAACACCCTTTCTTCTGCCAAATGTTGCCTGAAAGATAAGACTAGCATTTTTTTGGACATTTTTAGCTTTAGAATTTTTTTGATCATAAGTTATTTTACTGGGAAGCATAAATAGAAAAACAGAAAGCTGCTTTAGTTTAAAAAGGTGCAGAGGGGCCAGAGCCACATCATAACTGCACTCCCTCTCCTCCTCTCATTCCACTTGGCTGTCTATTGGAAGGAAGCAAATTCAGTCTGCTTTTGGTTAAAGTAAAATCACCCACTGAAATGCAAGCACTCAGAGAAAGGAGCTCATTAAATTATTAATATTTATAGTGAACACTTAGATGGGCAGTTATTGGATCTTCTCAAACTTTTACAGAATTCCACTAAGAAACTCAAAACTAGTTGAAAGAAAAATATCTAGATGGAAAAGAATTATGAGATTAGCAGTATCATTTGTTTCCTAATTTTTATATTTTTCTTTGGTCACAGACTTGGGACAGCTTCACAGGACATTGATTCTTCTCCCTTATCCTGACCTCCAAGGTGATGTATGTGTTTTATCCTTGTGTGCTAAGTTGCTTCAGTCGTGTCTGACTCTTTGCAACCCTCTGGACTGTAGCCTGCAAGGCTCCTCTGTCCATGGGATTCTCCAGGCAAGAATACTGAAGTGGATTACCATACTCATCTCCAGGGGATCTTTCCAACCTAGGGATTGAACCCGCATCTTTTGTGTCTCCTGCAATGGCAGGCAGGTTCGTTACCACTAGCACCGCCACCTAGGAAGCCTTTTATCCTTCGGGTCAGTTCAGTTGGGTTCAGTCGCTTAGTCGTGTCCAACTCTTTGCGACTCCATGAATCGCAGCACACCAGGCCTCCCTGTCCATCACCAACTCCCGGAGTTTACCCAAGCTCATGTCCATCGAGTCAGTGATGCCATCCAGCCATCTCATCCCCTGTCGTCCCCTTCTCCTCCTGCCCCCAATTCCTCCCAGCATCAGGGTCTTTTCCAATGAGTCAACTCTTCGCATGAGGTGGCCAAAATATTGGAGTTTCAGCTTCAGCATCAGTCCTTCCAATGAACACTCAGGACTGATCTCCTTTAGGATGGAATGGTTGGATCTCCTTGCAGTCCAAGGGACTCTCAAGAGTCTTCTCCAACACCACAGTTCAAAAGCATCAATTCTTCAGTGCTCAGCTTTCTTTATAGTCCAACTCTCACACCCATACATGACCACTGGAAAAACCATAGCTTTGACTAGACGGACCTTTGTTGGCAAAGTAATGTCTCTGCTTTTAAATATGCTATCTAGATTGGTCATAACTTTCCTTCCAAGGAGTAACCGTCTTTTAATTTCATGGCTGCAATCACCATCTGCAGTGATTTTGGAGCCCAGAAAAATAAAGTCTGTTTCCACTGTTTCCCCATCTATTTCCCATGAAGTGATGGGACCAGATGCCATGATCTTAGTTTTCTAAATGTTAAGCTTTAAGCCAACTTTTTCACTCTCCTCTTTCACTTTCATCAAGAGGCTTTTTAGTTCCTCTTCACTTTCTGCCATAAGGGTGGTGTCATCTGCATATCTGAGGTTATTGATATTTCTCCCAGCAATCTTGATTTCAGCTTGTGCTTCTTCCAGCCCAGCGTTTCTCATGATGTACTCTGCATATAAGATAAATAAGCAGGGTGACAATATACAGGTATTCCTTTTCCTATTTGGAACCAGTCTGTTGTTCCACATCCAGTTCTAACTGTTGCTTCCTGACCTGCATATAGGTTTCTCAAGAGGCAGGTCAGGTGGTCTGGTATTCCCATCTCTTTCAGAATTTTCCACAGTTTATTGTGATCCACACAGTCAAAGGCTTTGGCATAGTCAATAAAGCAGAAATAGATGTTTTTCTGGAACTCTCTTGCTTTTTCGATGATCCAGCAGATGTTGGCAATTTGATCTCTGGTTCCTCTGCCTTTCCTAAAATCACCTTGAATATCTGGAAGTTCATGGTTCACATATTGCTGAAGCCTGACTTGGAGAATTTTGAGCATTACTTTACTAGTGTGTGAGATGAGTGCAATTGTGTGGTAGTTCGAGCATTCTTTGGCATTGCCTTTCTTTGGGATTGGGATGAAAACTGACCTTCTCCAGTTCTGTGGCCACTGCTGAGTTTTCCAAATTTGCTGGCAGCACTTTCACAGCATCATCTTTTAGGATTTGAAATAGTTAAACTGGAATTCCATCACAGCCACTAGCTTTGTTCATAGTGATGCTTTCTAAGGCTCACTTGACTTCACATTCCAGGGTGTCTGACTCTAGGTGAGTGATCACACCGTCGTGATTATCTGGGTTGTGAAGATCTTTTTTGTACAGTTCTTCTGTGTATTCTTGCCACCTCTTCTTAATATTTCCTGCTTCTGTTAGGTACACACCATTTCTGTCCTTTATTAAGCCCATCTTTGCATGCAATGTTCCCTTGGTACCCCTAATTTTCTTGAAGAGATCTCTAGTCTTTCCCATTCTGTTGTTTTCCTCTTATTTCTTTGCACTGATCACTGAGGAAGGCTTTCTTATCTCTCCTAGTTATTCTTTGGAACTCTGCATTCAAATGGGAATATCTTTCCTTTTCTCCTTTGCTTTTCGCTTCCCTTCTTTCACACCTATTTGTAAGGACTCCTCAGACAGCCATTTTGCTTTTTTGCATTTCTTTTCCATGGGGATGGTCTTGATTCCTGTCTCCTGTACAATGTCATGAACCTCTGTCCATAGTTCATCAGGCTCTCTGTCTATCAGATCTAGTCCCTTAAATCTATTTCTCACTTCCACTGTATAATCATAATTTGATTTAGGTCATACCTGAATGGTCTAGTTATCCCTAATTAGTTTAGGATTTTTGTAGCTTTTTTTTAATAAGCAAATTAAAGGAAATTAAAAAAATATAGGGACACATTTATAAAGCCCATATTTCTTATCTTAGCAATGTAAGCCTAGTCAAAACTAACTTGACTGGTACAATTTACTGGTCACATTTAGCTTTAGTTATTTCCTCTCCATCAATCCTGAAATTCCTAAGTGAGATGGAGGAATAAACTTTTTGATTGAAATTTTCTCACACATATGATACTATTTCTCAAGTAACTGACTGGTGAAGTGTCCAGTGCAGTTGATGGATAGTAAGAACACTAAAAGTCTTTCTTAAAGACCCATTTGCTAAGTTCACAGTTTTTTGCTTAGTCAAATATGACTCTAACTGTTGGTATTCTCAGCACTATGGGAAATAAAAAAGTATGATGTGTGGTCCAGGCTCCTCAGAAGGTCATAGTGTAGTTGGGAAGATAAGAATAGCAAACATATTTAGAAAATAACCTAAGGGACTATGAGATTCACTGATAAATGATATAGCTAGATTAAATATTTAAGGAAGAGAGACCTCTACCTGACGTACAGAGACCTAAGATGATAATACTCACCTGGTATTTCACTTCAGTAACACACCCCTTCTCTCTCCAGTCCATAGAATCAGGCAATTTCTGATTAGGATTTGACTTGTAAGTGACATTTCTTGGCCATTGGCTGGGAACTCTCAAGGAACTCATCAAAGATATCACTTCTTCACTGGTCTACAAAGGTATACACATATGTCCTTTCACTTATATCCTTCTGGTCAATATCTTGAAAATTATAACTGTGAATATATTTAACAACTGAAAAAAACTAGTGGTAGTTGTGATTAACATAGGTAACTATCTGGTAGGTGAATTATCCAGGTCTCTTTAGTCCTACACTTTGCCGTTAGCATCCCAGTCAGACATTGGGAAGGAGAAGAAGAAAAGATAAAAAACTAAAAGCTATAGAGAGGCATATTTTTCTTTCAAAGCAGGGCAGAATTTTATAAGAAGGGTTCTCTAAAAAGTGGACTAAACTGGTTTTGCTTATGAGAAAGAACTGTAAAAGATTCCTGCATTTAATCCAGTTAGGGTGTTCCCTTCCAAGGGGTACCATGATTCTTAATTTTGGCCACAGTGAAAATTTTTTCTAAGATAGAGCAGAGTCTAATAACTAATGAAAGGTTACTTTATATTAATGCCCACACTCCCCCATTAAGAAAGCAGGTGGACCATATTAAATTATCAGTTTAGATTTACATAAGTATGGTGACGTATTCTAAAATGTTGTGAGTAGTCTTTAGGCAATATTTTCTAGAATTCATAAAAGTAAAATTAATGGTGGTCTGTGAGTTTAAAATATTCCCCTAAAAAAACACCTAAAACAAACAAAAATAAAAATAAAATATTCCCCTAAAGAAGGGATATATTAAGGAAAGTGGTCACAGTGTAGATCAATAAGCAATCTGTAAATTCTTATGTCCTTAAATTCTATTTTCTAATTTTATGTTCATATACATATAAAACATTCCTTTGTTGTTTACCTTCAAATTGCCTTTGGGGAGACAGAAATCCAGTTTACCCAAAGATGAATGTAGGATTATAATTTACCTACCATGTCTCCCAGGTGGTTCATGCCTAGATCATATGAATGCATTCCCATTGAATGTTCCAGATTGTGAAGCATAACAGTTTTTAGATTCTTTTCCCAGATGAGACGCCGTGCTACTTCCTCATTCTAAAATAAAAAAGAAATGTCATTATACTGAATCCTGCACAAATGTGTTCAATAATGAAAATATACATATTATGAAGCATTCCATTAAATGTGGATCTGTCTGGGAGCATGCAAATAAATGAATATGAATAAATAAATGTAACTGGGAAAAACTGCACACCAATCTTAACTCTTCCTCATAATTGCTGCCTTGGTGATTAATATCATTTTAGATATGTACAATGAACTTCCTCAATATGCTAGAAAGTTTTTTTTTTTTAGAAATTGCACTACAATATTGTAAAGTAATTAGCCTCCAACTAATAAAAATAAATGGGGGAAAAAAAAAGAAATTGCAATTTGTTGAAGTACATTCTTTGTAAGTGGTAAACTCACTTAATCATTATAAGCCTTTTAAAACATCTTTTAAAAAATATATATATATAAAATTGATTATTTATTTATTTAGCTGCACTCTGTCTTAGGTCTTAGAAGATCCTGTAGGATCTTTGTTAGAGCATGTGGGATCTTTAGTTATGGCATGTGGGATCCAGTTCCCTGACCAGGGATTGAACTGGAGCCCACTGCATTGGGAGCAGGGAGTCTTAGCCACTGGACCACCAGGGAAGTCCCTACCCTCACTCTTGAAAAATAGTTTAGTCTGATTATAAATTTATAGCTGTTTCTCTTCAGTTATTTGAAGGTATTTCTGAATTGCCTTCTGGTATCTTTTATTGTAGGTTAGAGGTCTATTGTCAGTCTAATTGTTATAATGTTTCTAACTTCGGTAACTTACACAATTTTCTTTTTCTCTTTGATATTTTGCAGCTTCACTACATGTTTGTGGATATGGATTTCTTTATTTTCCTCTGTGTAGTATTTTTTACTGAAAAGCTCTTTTGACTAGAGGATTCAGGAACATTCTTTTTTCCATATCTGGAAAATTCTCAACCAGTATCTCTTCAAATATTGCTTCTGCATCATCATTCCATCAGATGTATTTGGAGCCTCAAACTTTCTTTAATCTCTTTTTTTTTTCCATTTATTTTTATTAGTTGGAGGCTAATTACTTTACAGCATTGCAGTGGTTTTTGTCATACATTGAAATGAATTAGCCATGGATTTACATGTATTCCCCATCCCGGTCCCCCCTCCCACCTCCCTCTCCACCCGATCCCTTTGGGTCTTCCCAGTGCACCAGGCCCGAGCACTTGTCTCATGCATCCAGCCTGGGCTGGTGATCTGTTTCACCCTAGATAATATATCTTTAATCTCTTTTACCCGCATTTTCATAGCTTTCCCATTTTATTTTTGTGTGCGGTCTTCTTGGTGGATGCCTCAGTACTATCTTCCAGATCTGATTCTATCCAGCTCTTTCCAGTTTGGAGTTTACCCCTTTTATTGAGTTCTTATTTCAATGACTCTATTTTTTCATTTCTGAGGTTTCTAATTGGATTTCTAATACATTTCACAATTTCTTTTTCATTCATGTAAATATCATTCCATTATTCATACTTTTAAAAAATAAGTTTGGTCCTATTATCTTAATTTTATCCAGCATAAATTCATATTCAGGCTATTGATTTTCTTGCCCTCCAGGAGCTTAATTTACATAGAATGCAATATACATGGTGCCTCTTAGAATTGCTGACCCTCACCTCCACCCACAAGGCCATAGTTTACAACAAGCCATAGCCCAGTGAACAGTCAGCAACAACTCTTTTCTCCCTAATTTCATTGAGTGTTAGAACCCAGGCCTAAGCACTGGTTCTAGGCAGTAAGTCTAGGTAGTAAGTCTAAGCAGTCCCTCTGCCTTCAAGCAAGATTTTACTGTTATCCTAGTAAAAGACATATACAGATATACTTCCAAACCACTAGAGTGAACAATAAAATAAAGATAAATCTAATGAAGTATAGGAAAGGGGAAAAAAAGAGGAGAACTGTGAGATAGATCTTAATAGTGGAGTGTTAATCAAAAGTCACTTTCACTCCTCCTGATGGACTAGAGTCATTAAAAAGTAAGATAACATTCATTTAACTAGATAGTGGTGCTAATTGCACATCTAACTGTGATTAACATGGAAATTAGAGGCCTGAAATTCCCTCATAAAGGGGAAAGGGTGAGGGTGAAATTCATCACTACTAAGAAAACAACTCAGGGCATTTTTATACAAAAATCATACATCAAATAAATAAATTTATACATAATCTTTGCTTACAAACACATATATTATAGTTTTAGGAGGAGAAGGAAATGGCAACCCACTCCAATATTCTTGCCTGTAGAATCCCATGGACAGAGGAGCCTGGCAGGCTACAGTCCATCAGGTCGCAAGAGTCGGATACAACTTAGCGACTAAATCATCATAGTTTTAGGACTTAGTTATTTGAAGCACCAAGGCTAAGTATTAAACTCAATCAAGAAGTATGTTTAGAAATAAAAACAAAAGTACAAAGTGGGAAGTGAGAGTCAAGAAATAACATCTGCCAGTGCTTCTCTGTGCCAGGGACTGACAGCAGGTCTTTTAGTTCCTCAAACGTGCATTCTTTCCCTCTTGGCCTGGGACCTTCCTATCTGAGGTCTTCCCTGACCATACTGTCACATGTGTAAGATAATCACTCCCAACCCCTCACAGCCATCACCCAAGACCCTCCTCCAACCCCTTAAGTCTTTTTTTATTTTTTCCACTGTTTGCATCATATTGTTGTTCAATGGCTAAGTCATGTCCAGCTCTGTGCGATCCCATGTACTGCAGCACGCCAGGCTTCCCTGTCCTTCACTATCTCCCTGAGTTTGCTGAAACTCATCGCCATTATATATCTGCTTATTTATTTACTTCTTTCCTATTTCTCCTTTTAGAATATAAGTGCCCTAAAAATAGGAAATTTTTGTTTCCTGATGAAATTCTAGTGCCAAGAACAGAATCTGGCAAGAAAATGAGTGTGTAACATTTATTGAAGACACTGCTTGTCAAAATATATAGGGGAGGGACTTCCCTGGTGGTCCAGTGGTGAAGATTCCATGCTCCCAGTGCAGGGGGTAGGGGTGGGGCAGAGTTCAATCCCTAGTCAGAGACCTAGATCACATATGCTGCAACTAAGAGTTCACATCCTGCAAGTAAGGCCTGGTGATAGTCATTCGGTTGTGTCCGACTCTTTGTGACTGCATTAACTGTAGCCTGCCAGGCTCCTATACTATCCATGGAATTTTCCAGGCAAGAATAGTGGAATGAGTTGCCATTCCCTTCTCCAAGAGATCTTCCTAACCCAGGGATTGAACCCGGGTCTCCTGCTTTGTAGGTGCATTCTTTACCATGTGAGCCACCTGGGAAGCCCCCAAATCTGGTGCAGTCAAATAAATAAAATTTTTTTTTAAAGAACATGTAGGGTATTTGAGTAAAAGCAAACTGCTCAAATGGCAGCCCATCTACCTTTTCTTTGTATTGTTTCCCATAGGTTTTCTTCCAGAGATCCCAGTGATGATCCAGAGTGGGGTCTCTGTGCACTTGTGCCATTGCAGAGGAGCCCAGCAGAAGTGCCCACACCAGCCATTTCATTCTTTTAAAGGAAAGATGACATAGGAAGACTCAACATTAGCTGCATCTAATGTGACCGTACTTTTTTCTCAACAACAAGAAGCAATGCAGAGTCTGTCAAAGAGACAGAATGTTACAAATCAGAATCATGCAGGAAACTTTCTGGATTATATAGTGACAATGAGTAACTGCAGGTTTTTGTCTGAAATGCCACTTCCAATTTTAAATAGCATTTGATTTTCAAAAAATTTCCTGATATCTGGTAAACCAAATTTACATCCAAATTTGGGAGGATGTGGAGATGAGGGAAGCAGGGACTTTACAGGATTTGACAACAAATCTAATCAAGGGAAATCCTCTTTTCTCTGTTCCAAAATACTAATAATATTTAAGAAGAAGGCAAAACTTTGAAAAAATCAGTTTATCTTGGCAATTTTTGAATACACAAGCTCTTCTTAACTGGTTCATTCAAATATCCACAACCGTCAGAGGTAGTTAAAAGACAACTCCTATGTACTACTTTCACATCCTTGGATCATTTTACCTTTTTATCCCTAAAAATCAAAATATCTGCTTGAAAAGAAGTGTTAACTACTTTTGAAAATGTAAATTCTCTATTTAATACAAAGAGACTGTAACAGAAATTCAGTGACTAACTCCCTCAAACTGGATTCTACTTTCTTTTCCACTTCTTTTAAATTCAAAACAGCTGTATTTTTAACCATATAAATCTTCAAATTATAGTCCAAAGAAAGCTATGTGTTAGCCTCAGGATTTAGATATTCAAGCCGACACTGAACTTTTCAAAAATGGATTCTTTTTAGTCAAAAAAATAAGAGGCAAATTGAGCGACAATGATTGTTTAGTTTACTTCCTGAAAGAAACGATGCAAAACCTGGCAGGCAGAGCAAGCTAAAAACACCAATGAAAGGTTTAAAGATCAAGTAGGAGAAAAAGAACAGACAGTACATACGTGATAGACCAAGCAGGTGCTCCCAAACTAAGAATGTTGATGGTGGGCTCTCTCCAAAGCTTTCAAAGGCAGCAGTGACACTTAGCTAAAGTGACTTTAAAAAGAAATTGGAACTTGTCACATGAGGCATCCACAATGAGGAAGTGAACTTTCATTTCAGTTTCATTTAAAATCTAAGTAAGTGTGCCACCTCCAGCTCTCTCACTATGGTTTTGGACACAAAGTGGGTACAGTAAACCAACAAAAAAGAGCCCCCAGTAAAAGAGATCAATAGAACAAACTCAGCAAAATAACATGAGTACAAGTTTACTCTTCAAACTCTCATCATTTTGATTATTCAATTTACCTAAAAACAGCAACTTTCAGATGGAAAATTTTAGTTATGAAGAGATTAGGATTAAGTTCCTGAACTCCAAGTTTCCTCCATGATTTCTTAGGAAAAACTGCTTTATTCTTTTTAACGCAACTCATCCATGATCTACTGTTGTCTAAATCTCACCCAGATGAGAATTCCCATTTATACATGGGTCAGTTTCTGAGCTCACTAATACATTCTCTTTCCTATTGCCCCTTCAATAACACAGGGTTTTAATTCAAATAGCTTTGAATATGTTTTGATGTCTAACAGGGTAGGAAACTCTTATGTTTATTCTTCTTTATCGAAGTTGTCTTAATGTTTTGTGCCTGTTAACTTTTCCACATGAGTTTTAAAAACCAGTTTATCAAGCTTTCTGAAAATTTCTGTCAGAGTGTTTATTTAAATTGATATTTATATTGAATTACTATATATATCATGAGTGAGTGAGTGTGTTAGTTGCTCAGTCTTGTCTGACTCTTTGTGACCCCAAGAATGGGGGCCCACCAGGCTCCTCTGTCCATGGGATTTCCCAGGCAAGAAAACTGGAGTGGGTTTTCTAACACAATGTTGTGTTAGCTGCTGCTGTACAGCAAAATCAGCTATACGCATCTAGCTTTTTTAAAAAAAAACAACACTTTTATTGTGGACAATTAGACATAAATAAACATAGAGACATGGTAAAGTGAGCCCCATGAGACCATTATCCTGCTTTAACAATTATCAATATGTGGCCAATCTTGCTTTATTTACCTTCCCACTTACCCAGATTATTTTGAACCAAATACTAGACATCAGATTATTCCACATGTAAATATACCAGTGTGTATCTCTAAAAGATAAAGACTCTGAAATAAATAAAATTCCAATACCATTATCACATCTAATATTCTCAAACATGTCAGTATTTATATTTCCCTATCTTTAAAAAAAATAGTTCGTTCTGAGTTCCAAATACAGTCTGAACATTGTAAACCTTTGAGTTATTTTTGTATCATTGTGAATTCATGGGTTTAGCCATATTTTATGTGCTTCAATTCAATGCAGCTTTATAGTTAATAGGTAATGTTTCTCATATTTTCCCATCTGCGGTCAGTGAAAACATTCAAAATGGCTTCTGGGGAAAAAAAATGGCTTCTGAGTCCTGAGTCCCTATATTTGGCATGACATTAATGCTCTTTAATGGACTCTTCTCTAATATGACAAACCATGGCAGGTTTATGTTGAACACTCCCAGCCCAGAGAGCTTCCTTACCCCTTTCATCTTGGAGGACACAGCTCACCATGTGTTCACAGACAGCCATATATGACAGGAAAGGAGCCTCACCAGACAATGAATCTGCCAGCGTCTTGATCATGGACTTCCCAGCTTCCAGAACTGTGAGGAGATAAATTTCTGTTGCTTATAAGCTTCCCAGGCAGATCAGCAGTAAAGAATCTGCCTGTCAATGCTGGAGATGCAGGAGACATGGGTTCATTTCCTGGGTCAGGAAGATCCCCTGGAGGAGGGCACGGCAACCCACTCCAGTATTCTTGCCTGGAAAATCCCATGGATAGAGAAGCCTGGTGGGCTACAATCCCATGGGGTTGCAAAGAGTTGGACATGACGAAGCACACACACACACACACACACACACACACACATATTTATAAGCCACCCAGTTTATGGTATTTTATTATAGCAGTCAGACTAAGACAGCTCTTCTCATACATAAATCTTACACTCAAAGCAGCTAGCTTTGTTCATGTTTCAAGGACATTTATCCTTATTATCCTCTGCACTTTTTCCACACTTTATTATTATAACAGTCCTAGCTAATGTTTGTTGGATGCACCAATTATATGCCAGTGAATATGCTATGTGCATGCGTGCATGCTAAGTCACTTCAGTCGTGTCCGACTCTTTGCGACCCCATGGATCTTAGCCCACCAGGCTCCTCTGTCCATGGGATTCTCCAGGCAAGAATATTGGAGTGGGTTGCCACTTCCTTCTCCAATGTGCTATACTCTTTTATATTATTATTTAATCTTTTCACTGCTGTGAGGTAGGACGATTATTATCCTCATTTATAGCTCAGTTGGTAAAGAATCTGCCTGCAATGCAAGAGACCTGGTTAGATTCCTGGGTCGGGAAAGTGCCCTAGAGAAGGGATAGGCTACCCACTCCAGTATTCTTGGGCTTCTCTTGTGGCTCAGCTGGTAAAGAATCCATCTGCAATGCGGGAGACCTGGGTAGGGAAGATCCCCTGGAGAAGGTAAGGGCAACCCACTCCAGTATTCTGGCCTGGAGAACTCCATAAACTGTATAGTCCATGGGGTCGCAAAGAGTCAGACATGACTGAGCGACTTTCACTTCACTCACTTTCACTCAACAGAGGGGAAATTCAAGTTCTGAGAGGCTGTATATTTTGCCTTTCAGAACCTGGGATTGCTGACCTGGTTGCTGACCTGGGATTGAACCCAGTTTTAAAGTAGTACTTCTCCAACGAATCATTTTGCTTCTCACTGTCTGGAATTTCCTTTCCCCATCACTGCCTCTTGAAATCCTGTTTCTCCTTCATGGCCCATCTCAAAAGATATCTCGTTCCAAAACACCTTTATTTATCCCCAGTTTAATGTCTCTACAGTACCTGGAGGCTCTGTTGTGGCAAACTCATAGATTCTGAGATCAGAAAAATCATTCTCATAAGTCTCTGTCTAATCGCATAATTATTTGTGTATTGGCCATACAAAAATATCAGTTGGGCCATACAAATGTGCCAGTTGGTCTCTTAAGTACAGAAATTAGGTGTAGCTTACTCATTTTTGTATCCTCCACAGTATAGAATGCAATGATACAGTAGGAACTCAATAAATATGTACTGACATGATTTAAATTATTTCAACAGCCTTCAATCCAATCTACCTTGCAATTTCATCCTGTACATCACTACCAAGTTGTTCTCTCAAGACACATTTTTTTAGAGTTGATTTATTATTTATTTTTTGGCTGTGTTGGGTCTTTGTTGCTGCGTGCAGTCTTTCTCTAGTTGTGGCAAGAGGGGGCTGTTCTCTAGATGCGATGCCGGGGCTCCTTGTGGCAGCAGCTTCTCTTGTTGCAGAGCATGGGCTCTAGGGCAAGCAGTCTTCAGAAGCCGTGGCGCACAGGTTTAATTGCCCTGCAGCATGTGGGGTCTTCATGGATCAGGGACTGGAATCTGTGTCTCCTGTATTGGCAGACAGATTCTTCACCACTGGACCACCAGGGAAGTCCTAAAATGCATTTTCATCACACCATTTTTACCAATGCTTTCTGTAGCCTGCTGCATTGTCTCGCAATCTGATCCATCCTTAAGCATTTTACTCAGTTAAGAGTAGATTTTTAGAAATGTTCACCCTCTGTTGTAGTCAAGCTGGTCTTGTGAGCCCCGACATCACACAGCCATTTGTGTCTTTCTGAAATGGCTCTCTCCACTCCTTGGCCTCTCTACCTTGCAAGTTCTATTTCCCAAGTGTTGCCTTTCCCAGTCTTCCCTGGCTACTTCACCATCTTCCATTTCTATATACTTTTAAAATGTAATTTTTATTGTATATTAGGGACAAGTTGATTTACAATGTTGTTTTAGTTTCAGATGTACAGCAAAATGATTCAGTTATACATATACATATATTATATATACTTTTAAGAAACAAATTGTACCATGCAATTCTGAA